ATCAAGACTCTGAAATACTGTTCTGCTAACCCATACAGGGTTGAGACATGGTCAGAGGTCCCAGCCACAGACTCTCATGACACAGAGAGAGGCTCTTGCCTTTACCAGGGAAGAAACAGCTCTGGAGGAAGGGGAAGAGAACTGCCTGCCTCATGGAGCAATCGGTAAATATTAGCTCAGCTGAACTGAAGCCAGGCCCGAGTTCTCATCCTTGGCCTTGCATTTGTTATGAAAGAGGACAGAAGGACTGATTTATCTCTAAGGTCTCTTACAACTCTAAAAGCTATGAGAAGCAAAGCTTTGAGGCGCTGTTGGTATTTAGGGCATTTCCCAGGCGTACGGCTACCTGTTTGGGAATTAGTTGCCCCCTTGCCTCCTCTGCAGCCTGTCAGCTCTCTCGTGCGCCTGCTCCTGCTGTTCCCCCTGCACTTATTTTCCTCCTGCACTTAGCAGACTTGGTTCCATCCCATCACTGTGGCCTCAGCTGAAACATTCTTTACAAGTCTGCCCTGCCTGGACTTCTTAGCTAGAGAGGCATCTCCCTAGCCCAGCAACTCCCCATTACGTCATCCCGTTTATTTCTCTACAGTGCCTTTTGCAACACAGCTGTTTTCTGTGTTTACTAGACAAGCTCTACAAGGGAAGCTATTGCCCATATTCGTTTCTACCATGTCTGCAGAACTCATTTAATGCCTTTTCTAAAATAGAATATCTGGTTCTTCCTCCGAGAAGACTCAGCCCTTTACTGGGCACCGGCTTGCTGAGCCAGACATGGGCTAGATTTTACCTGCTCCTTGTTCCTTGACCAGGTACTCTTTGTCAGTGGACAACCTACACCACGGTGGGTCTCTTCCCTGCCTAGAATCATGCAAGGTTTCTGGCAGAGTACAGAAATTTCATACTGGTTGGATGAACAAATCAACATTATTGAGGTATAATTTATCTGCAGAAAAATGCACCATTTTAACTGTTCAGTTCAATGAATTTTGACAAATGCGTGTAGCCAGGTACATGATCCAGATACAGAAATTCTGTTACTTAGAAACGCCCCTCTTTCCTCCCACGGCCCTCCTCCCTGTCCTCAAGCAATCATAAAATCATTTAATTTTAGTTGTATCTCACCTCTTTCCCAAAGGGTTTTTAAATGGCCTTAAAAGGGAATAAATATACCAAAGTCAATAAAAGGAGAAGGAAAAAAGGAAAAGGCAAGATTAAGAGGCAACGGGCAGATGGCAGATATCCTACCCCATAAGGGTCAATGGAGCATCTGTGACAGGTCTTGAAGGTCAAGGTATGGCTGCAGCCTCCAGAGAGCCAAGGTCGAGACTGAAAAGTGTGCTGTAAGTCCCGACTTACAAACCAGTTCTGTTCTGGGAGAACGTTCATAAGTCAGATTCATTTGTAAGCCCGACTCATTTGTAAGTCCAGCAAAGTGAGTCTTATATGCCTTTGGCACAAATGGACAATGTGTATTGCTTTGGGCTTCCTAGCAGTCCCCTCCACATCACCACTGCTTTTCCTCTTGCTTCTGCACATCCTGGGCTCTGACTGGGTGCTGTGCTCCTGCACACTACTGCACTGTACAGTGAGCACAGAGCTGCACCACCATGACTGTGCAGCAGACACGTGAGCTACTTCTGTGATGTGTTCACATCTGCGAATGTTTGTAACGCGAGGTCCCTTTGTATCTATGAAAGTTTGAAACTCGGATGTTCATGAAGCAGGGACTCACTGTGCTTAATTCATCTTTGGGGAGGAACAAGCCTATTGTTTTCACAGGGGAGACAAAGTTTCCCTAGTACACACATCCGGGACACCTGTCATGCAGTTCATCAGTGCTCTGGCCGTGTCCTCAAAGATCCCTCATATCGCAGCAAATGCACCAGGAATGTTCCCTCGTCTATTGTATTTAGACAATCTTCCATAAACATTCCTACGGCAAACATCAAAGTATCTTCCCTTAAGAAGAGTATCTCAGCTGGGCTTTTCAGAGAATTGGGGAGAAAATAATTCAAAATGCTCTTCTCCAGCAAGGGTCTAAGGCTCAGGATTCACCCCCTTATGGGCAGAGGCACTTGCTTTGAAACCAGGTGAGCATGTAGGAGGGGTAATGTTCAGTTAGCAAACTTAAAAGGGCCTGGACAGGATCCCTGTGTAGATCAAAGGCCTCCCCATCCTGCCTGGAGCTGTGCTCTGGGTGTGGGGGAGGCATCTGAGGAAAAGCCAGGATTTTCTTTAGGAACTAGTTTTGGAGTTGGGCCAGCATGAGCCAGGCTCCATTGAGAAGCCAAATTTCCACACCGTGGAACATTAACATTTCTAATATGAAATATATTGTGGGCAAGTGTTGACAGCTTCTCACTGCAGCCACACAGATTTCTTAGCAATGTCCTTGGGAGACTGAAATCCGAGCCACATCTCCCTTACTCCTGATGAGTTCAAGAGGTCCTAAAACTAGCTGGATTCTGAAGCGACTGGGAAATGAGACAAAAGGCTAAGCCCTTTGCTACAGCAGCAAACACATAACTATAGTTGGGAAATGTGGCTTGTGTCTGTGGGCGAGCAAGCTTCGCGGGTGTGACAGACCTTCCCACCTGTCACAGGCAGGGCCTGGGCAACACAGGCTTCTGTAAGGAGGACGAAGAGGAACCAACAATGCAAGCTTCCTTTGCTCCCAGTGGCTAGGGAGAGGTGGTAGAGGGACGAGGGCCTGGGATCCCTGCTGGGATTCACCTCCACTCTCCCCAGGGAGGTGTCACCCCTTCGGCTGGGCATCCCTAGGTATCCGCTGGAATAAACTAGCCACAAGAGTGGGACTGAAGGGACTGAAGGCATGTTATGGATTTGATATGCACCATTTATGTATTGGTGACTGTGCCCTAGACTGTAATTATTGTGTACCACCACTGGTGTTTGAGGTTAAACTTTTATTTTTGAAGTGGGTAAATACCAACGCTATTTTCTTCTTTTTACTTTTTCATAATTAGACTACCCTGGCTGCTAATTATGGTAGGGGTGTGTCAACATTGTCTCAAAGTGGTATCAACTAAGATCTATATTAAAAGAAGGGAGGAGGCCCCAATGCACCCTTGTTTTGCACTAGTTAATACTTGTCCTTTCAGGTCATTCTGGTCACTCTTGACTCAGTGATCGCCATGTGCTCATGTTGCTTTGTCGGCAGGTAGTTCTGGCCCATGGTGTGCTGGTAAATGCATACAAAATGGCTCTTTGAAATAAAGTCTGGATTTGTAGTGTTTCCTATTTGCCAATTATTATGAGGCCAATACTCCCTCCATAGCTAATTTCAAGCCACCAATGTGATGTTACTATATGTGGCGTTGGGAAGAGAAACACAGTACATCACTTTATATTTCCATAATACAGATACAAGAGACCTAAATAATCTCAAGAAATAAGTATGAAATATAAGTAAGGTATTAGTAAAATAGAAAGTGACATAGTTTGAGTATTTGCTACATCTGTTTTAAGATAATTTATTTGTAAACTCGTATAATTTAATCTTTAGTAAAGGATATTTTAACAGTTTACCAAAATCTTGAAATTTTAAGGATCAGCTCTCATGAGCCAGTATAAACCATTTCCAGCACGTCACTGATTCTGATCAATGTAATTAAAGCTCAAGGAAAGGTCAATTTCCCCACAAGGCCAAAACCCATCAATCAGTGGTCAATATTGCAAAGTTAACATTGGACAGAGCCCCAAGCCTGTCATTTTTCAGAAAAAGCTTAATGTTTTGATGGACTATCTAGCAAATGTAACAAGCCTACCATTTCAAGAGAGAAGAAAAGATTTCCTGTTTGAAAAAGTGAGATAAATTCTACCTTGAGTCAACCTGGAGGGAGGAACAGTTTGACAAGGGGTTGAGCCTGTCTGTTGCAACACGCTGACAATTTTGATGACAAATGTTTGGACATTTTGACATCACATTCGAACCTGAGCTTTCTGCAGTTATGTAGTGTTGCCTCAGGAACCTTGTGGCTGAGAGGCTCTGTGATGATGTCCAGGTGTGTGGTGACAGGGGCCCAAGCAGGGGAGGTGAGAGGGGGATGAGAAGGGAAAGGCCAAGGAGACACAACAGTCCCCCGCCTCTTCTATGCAGCAGAGCAGGAACCTTCTTGCAAACAAAACCTGGCAATGCTCTTGTCTGACTTGAAAAGGAACTCTTCTTCCGGTAGATACTCAGCAAATGGAGACGGTGGCATCAGAACGACACATTTACATTTCTTTATTCTTTCAGAAAAGAGGCAACCTGATTTTGCCTGTATCACATCCTGTGTAGAGTGAAAAGAAAAGTGTTAAGTGGAGTTCGCACTCGGCTGAGCAGTTTTGCCACCTCTGACAAATCACTTACCCTCTCCCAGCCCGTCTCCCACTCTACATACGAAATCTTCCCTGTCAGTGTGAGTGTCAAGTGGGACCATGTGAGTGCCAGCACGTCCCACAGGGCACCAGGAACATTTAAAATGAGTACGTTAGCCGGGAGTGGTGGCACACACCTGTAATTCCAACACTCTGGGGTGCTGAGGCAGGAGGGTCATAAATTTGAGTCCAGCCTGGTCAACTTAGACTCAAGTCTCAAAATCAAAAATAAAAAGGACTGGAGTTGTAGCTCAGTGCAAAGGCTCTTTGTTCAATCCCCAGTACTGCACAAACAAGCAAGCAAAAGAGTATGTTACCTTTGTGAGTAGATCTTCCCCTCGTGTCTCCCTAAACACCACTGGTACCAGAGCGCACTGGACCTTGCAGTCCCTACAGCACAGTCCCCTGGGAATCCCTACTCTGTAGCCCCCTCCTGAGAGCAGCCATTTCTCTGAGGGGCAGTTTCCTGTCTCCAAACTGGAAGGTGAGCCACTGGACCCCATTAACAGTCTACAATCCCCTTTACTCCTCTCATTTAGTTCCTCTTGCTAAAGCTTCATCTATGCTGTGACTTAAAAGCTAACTCTGACCCTTGAGGCATCTGTGAGGTCTAGTTTCTTATCAGACCTTCTCAGGGTGACGTTCCCATGTGTTGCAGACCTTGACTGGTGGAAGATGGACACCAGATGTTTTCTCCCTCCAGTTTCTGAGCCAAACTAAAGAAAACAAGCAAACAAAAAGGATCTCAAATCACAGTGCGTTACAAATCTCTTAATGCAGTAAAGTCTCTGAAAAATGGCCCGGGGTTCTTCATCATCTGGCCTATTTGCTAAGTTCAAGGTCACCTCGGGTTCAGCAGAACATTGTGCTATTTTTTCCAGTCCCTGGACAACAAGAGAATATAAAGCACATTTTCTAGTTAGGTTTTACATCCACAGGGCTCCAAGATAAATTCATTACATATGTTCTGGTTCATTCACACACAACTCAATTTGATATCTAAGAAGGCTTCAGAGTTTTAACAAAAAAATCTCTTCAAAGTATTCTTCTCTTTGAACCCAGCAGGCATATTTTCCTAAGAATAAGATTTAATAATGGCTGCAGTGTTTGTGTGTATTTGAAACATTGCCTCAAATCCCTCTTTTCTCAACTTCAGGTTTCCTTCAAAACATCTAATGTAAATAATTGTAATTTAAAAAATACTTATACATGGTGTGTGTGTATCAACCATGTAGGTATGTGCCAGGAATTGTACTAAGTGCTTCACACTACCACAAACATTTATAACAATGTTTGGAGGTAGGTATTACTTCTCTTATTTACAAGCAAAGAAGCTGAGGCTCAGAAGTTTTTATGACTTGACCAAAGACAGAGCTGACAGGTCAAAAAGCCAAGATTCTACTGAACTCTGTTTGTTTGAGTCCCCTTAGTTAATTCAGAAAATATTTATCAAGTGCCTCATGTGCCAACTGTTATACCAAGCCTGGAGAGGAAAATAAGGAAAGACTTTGCGATTCTCCAAGAGAAGGGCTTATTTTTATCCTTCAGCATGTAACTGAAGATGGCAGGCAAGGACTATATCAATAGGATGTGCTTGATTGCAAGAAACAGGAAACCCAACTCAAAAGGCCTTAAACAATAAGGAGACTTCCTGTGGCTATGACTGCTGGTTGCCCCGTAATACCCATTTTCCCCTTCCACTGGGAGCATAATTCTCAATTTTTAGCCAGACACATGGCCTCCTAGGATAAAGACAATGTTTCTCAGCCTGAAGTTGATGTAGCCATATAATTAAATTCTGGCTTATTACTAGGTACATCTTCTCACACATATCATTCTCTTTTCTCCTTTTTGCTGACTGGATTCAGGTGGGATGACTGGAGTTGGAGAAGCCATTCTGGACGAGGGCAATAAATGTGTTATGATGGCAGAGCTACCAGATAGAAGGTACATTGTCCCTGGGCTTCCTCTTTTTAAAAAAGTTTTTCTAAAATTTTAATTTTTATTAGTACCCGTTTGCAGTACATAATGATTATATTCATCACGGGGAGTTGGCACATGTATATCACACGTCTTAATTCTTTGTATGTCTCCTTTCACTTCCCTTCCTCCCCCTCCTTCCTTCTCTTAGCTCCTTTCCCATTTGCAGAAGATCAGGGCTTTTATTTTTTTAACCTGAAAAAACAAATAAATCTTGTTTGTTTAAGCCACTGTTATTTTGGGTTTTGGGTTACATATGATAGAACCTAATCCTATTCATAAACTCACATAGCTAGAAGTCTAGAGGTAGGGTAGGCTTCAGTGTTAGTTTGATTCAACAACTCACTGATGATCGCAAGGAATCAGTTTCGTTCTAGGTCATTGTTCTGCCTGGGCTGTCAACTTCCTCCTGAGACTGGCCTCTGTCGTGGGGTCAAATAGCTGCCGAAGTGAGTACGTGGACAGGAAGGGCCCCAAAGCCCTCTCATAAAGGCGATAAAGCACCCTTCCCAGGAACCCTCTGACATCTTGCTTTTCATTACCCTGAATTAGGTCCAGTGTAGCCAGGAAAGTGCCAAAATGGATTGGTTTAGTCTGACAGAACCAGTCACCCTGGCAAGGGAATCAGAATGACACTGACCACATTGGGCTAAGCAGAGCTCACCTGGGGAGGTATTTCAGTCAGTCTTTGGTGTCAGTGAATGTAACCTGCAGTTTGTACTGTACTCAAAGAACCTCAGTGGCCCACTTGTGCAAGGAACAGCACAACACCTTCTTATAAGAGGATTGGGTGAAATATGCTGCCCCTCTATTTCAGGAGTTGGAGAGAGGCTGGAGGACTACAGAGCCGTTGTACTGGCTAGTCTAAACTCCAGCCGCCCACGTTCCCCAGAGAAGTCCCTTGGGAGTGTGCAGAGTTGGCAGTGGGGGCTCCCTCCCAAGATGGGGTGACTTAGGGAGGGCTGCCTGAGAGTTCTTCCTCCAGCCCACTGGGCCCTCTGCTCCACGGTTACTGGAGGTGCTTGTATTCCTGGAATTTAATTCTTTGGGAATAAAATATCTTCTTTCCAGAATCTCCAATAACCTGAGAGGAGTAACACATTGAATTCGGTACAATTTGTTGGTTAGATTAATTATTAGCTGCCTCATCCCTATCTTTTTCACCAAGAGGAACAATGTGCCAGTGGGCATTTGGGGCATCACCACAGAAAAGAAAAACTTCACAGTTCAGGATAATTAGAGAGGGTGGGGGTACATAATGGGGCCTCCTGAGTTCGTGGTGAGGTAGGGTAAGAGGGAGGGATAATAAGAATGACCAGGAAATGGAGGTAGTGGGGATGTCAAAGCCAACTTCGAGACTTAATCATTCAGCCCAAGGCTAGCCCCAGGCAATCTCTTCTATTGCAATCACTGGATTCTGCGGCTGGTGAGGAAAAACAGCTCTATTGCTTCCCTTCTTGGATGGAGCAGTGGTTGCCCGTCTTTGAAGTTTTGTTTCTTACACATCCATCTCACCTGTGGCATCCCCACGTGGCTCAGTACACAGCTTGTTCAAATGACAGGACTCATTTTGGTTAGTGTCCTCACCACCAGGAGGAAGACAGTCATCCTGTAGAAATCATGTGAGAGAAGGAGTAAGACCAGAAGCACTGGCCCAAAATAGGGTCAGAGGGAGGTAAGATATAGTGGAAAGCAAAAGGTCTTTCATATTTCAACCAAACCCCAAAAACATCCCGTAAAAAATGTCTTTCTATAGTAAATTCATTTGGGGACTGTTTTCCAGTAGACCACCAGTTCATTAGCTTATTCAAGCTTCTCACGTAAAGCAATGAGATATGTTTTACACATAATCCAAAATCATAAGAATCCACACTATTCGTCCAAAGGGCCATTTCTGAAGTTCTTGTGAAGTGCTTTGTTTCACTTGCACATTAGTATTTCTCCAAGTGTCTTCCCTAGGCCATTTATACACAAATCACATGACAGGAGAAAGGGCGGTAATAGTGGTGGTGAATATTAAAAACGAAGCCTGCTGAGTACAGTAGTGCATGCTTGTAGTCCCAGCTACTCATGAGGCTGAGATATGAAGATCACAAGTTTGAGCCCAGCCTGGGCTACAGAGTAAGACTTCATCTTAAAAAAAAATGGAGAGCTCTGGGCTGTACTTGGAACCTATTAAATTACATTCTGGAAATAGAGCTTAGAAATGAGCATTTTAAACCAGCAAATCATGATTTTAATTCTCGCAATGGTTTAAGCACTGTGATTCCTAGAATGCTAATAACAACACCTTAGAGCAGTGGTGGCGAACCTATGGCATGTGGGCCACAGCAGGCTGTTTGTATCAACTAAAAGCTCTAAAAGGTTTGCCATCACTGCCTTAGGGTAGATGGCTCTATACAAAGACGTTTGTAAAATATCTCATTGAACTTCATATAAATCTCAGGCAGGAATGTCAGAGCAGGTAACATCATATTCATTTTTTGTGGAACCACAGCTCTGTGCTGTCAAGCAGCTTGGACAAAGATCCCCACCATAATCGAGAGAGACTCAACTGCAACTCAGGCCTTGCAACGTTGAGTATGGTCCTCCAGCCTTTGCCCTGGACTGTAATGACATTCCAGCTTATGAAATAAGGGGTCCAAATTTGGGCCACTGTCTAAAGAGAAAGAAAATAGACACAACTAGAGCAGACATCATTTGTGGAAAAATAAAATAAAACTTGGAAGATGCCAATGACCAGTATATTCACTGTCATTAGTGATCTTACAATAATGTTTAAAAACTATAAGTATAATAAAGGATTATTTTTATTACCTGTCTGGATTTAGATTGGTTGACTCAATTGGTTTGGGCAAGAATGACCAATGTGAACCATGTGATCAGAAATTCTGTCAATGCCTGTCATACCAGCACTCGGGAGGCTGAGGCAGGAGGATTGCTGTGAGTTCAAGGCCTGCCTGAACTACATAGCAAGACCCTGGCTCAAAAAACAAAAACAAAAAGAACTGGAAATTCTGTTAAGTGAATGACACATTCATTTACTTGTAATGAAAATGGTGTTGAATGAGAATCATGTGACAAAAACCTGAGTCAAGGACATGTAAGGAATTACTCATATCTACTTTCTTTTGTCAGTAGTTCACGATGTCCTAATTTCAGTCTGAATTTTAGAGGAATTAAATCCGAGAAACTCAAAATTCTCTCCTGAGTTACAATTATTAGCCAACCTGGGGCCACTAAGGAGAGAGACAAATTGGTGATGAGTGGCAAAATTCTGTTAAGCCGATGAGTGGTCCCTGGAGAACCTCCATTTAGAGTCAAAACATGTTTTTCCCCTCAGAATCTCAGAGGCACACTGTGGGGTCAGAGGGGTTACATTTAGCCTTGGATTCCTAGGCAGCCCCTGGACTTACAATGTAATGGAGGCTCAGACTCTGTGTTGGGCCCTGAGGAAAGGCTGGCTTGGCCTTCGGACTTAATGGGCAGCCATCTTGTGGTGCAAGAGAACACGAGTGCCTTGTTCATACGGGTCAGTAGGGCCAGACCCCTCTCCAGTGTGGCTTCAGGAGGCAACCTCTGGTTAGATGCTGCATAGACTGAATAAATCCTTCATTAACTTGGACTCTTGGTAAATTTAAATGTCACACTCAGTGAAAATGCAGATTACAGCCAGACATGAGGGCAAGTGTTTGTAATCCCAGGATTCTAGGAAGCCAAGGCAGAAGATTTTGAGTTCAAGCCCCGCCTGGGCAATTTAGTGACTTAGCAAGACTCTGCTTCAAAAATTTAAAAAATGAAAAAGGTTTGGCGATGTAACTCAGTGCAAAGATTAGCATTGCAAAAAGTAAATAAACAACTTAAAATGCAAATTATACCATTGGACTTATATCATTATAATCAACACCTTTTGCTAATGATTGCTTTTGGATTTATTATAGTCATAGTCAGAATGAAGCCAGGCCGGGTGGGGGGTGCAATTTGGGCTCCCTCTGGGACCGCATCTTTGTAAGTGCTGTACAGAGGGTGCCTTTTCCACCAGCCCCCTGTCTAATCATCTCTGTTTTCTATTTATACATTTTTTGATACCTAGAAATTAATCTCTTCTACTATTGAGATAAATAATAGCTTGTTTTCTAGTTTTCAAAAATAGTTTGTGGTTGTTGTTTGGAGACCTTCTGGATTTATTGAAGTATATGATATGTGTAAAAGGTATGAAGTGTTCTGCTGGGCCTGAGGCACAGGAAATAGAATTTTATTCTCTTTCTTTTTGTTTTTATGAAACAGGGTCTCACTAAGTTGCCCAGGCTGGCATCAAACTCATGATGCTCCTGCCTTAGCTTTCCAAGTGCTGAGGTTACAGGCATGCACCGCCAAGCCCAGCCTTTTTACTTTATTCTCCTTAGGACTTTTTTTTTTTCTTGGAGAAGGTATTTATTACAGTATTTGTTCAAGTCTGAGATGTCCTCTGAAGTATGTTGATTTTTTTTTTCTGGCCTCATTTATATCACTTCTCAGACCTTTTCTATCTTCTTAAAAATTTCTCTAAGACTAGACCTGACTGATGATATTAATACCGTTTGATTTGGTAAACTGTGTTCTGGCGCACTGGGTTCAGGTCCAGGATCTGTCCCCTGAAGCCAGGAGCAAACCTCTGGGGAGGTATCCTACCTCCCTTAGGTGGATCCAGGCCCTCAGGGCTCAAGACTCTGTCCAGGAGGATGAAGAGAGAGGCCTCAGTCATTAACCCATTGCTCACCACAGAAGATGTGTCTTGCTCAAGCCTGCCTAGAACTCCGAGGCCCTGTGGTGGGAGTCCCTCCTCACCGGCCAGCCAGTGTGGCGACTGTCCCAAGCCGAGGAATTTATCTCCAGCTTTTTCATTTTGTTTTTTTTTGAGATAGGATTTCACTCTGTAGTCCGGGTAGGCCTCAAACTCACTATATAGCCCAGGGTGGACTCAAACTCAGGGTGATCCTCCTGCCTCAGTCTTCAGCTCTTATCTCCAACTTTGGCAGCACCCAAGCAGCCATCCCTACCCCATTCAAGGACACCACTTGAGCACTGTCTCTTCCCTTCTTTGGGAGCCCTCAAAGCAGAGAACCGAGTGCTTTCTCCTTGGGATCAAGCCTGTCCCGGCTCTAGACACCTCAAGGCCCCTAATCCCTCATCCACCTGAGCTTCTCCCTCCCTGGAACCAGTGCTTTCACTCAAAGGTTTCATCCTAAAGCACAAACTGTGTCCCTCAGGAGTCGGAACACAGGCACTCAGAGGCTGGCGCCTTCCCTGAGGGCGGGAAGGGGGGACTTCCCTCCAGTCTGCCTTGAAGCCACGGCAGCAACAGCAGCAACCCAAACCCACACAGAGCCACGAAGCACCACAACAAAAGGCAAATTCTCAACAATTCACTCCAAGTGTGCTCAATTTTCCACAGAAGCGGTTGGATCTGTTCCTGGGATACACATTTATTCAGTCGGTGATCGTCCCCTCCTGTTTTGAAGTTGATACCATACAGTTTTCACAAGCACTTAATTGCTGCACATTTCAAGGATAGGGTGCGTTGTTCTTTTTTTTTTTCTTTGTTATTTTTGGTCACTTTTTCTTTTGCATAAATTTCACATTGTTTATCAAACTATATGAATGATCTTAGTAGAACTTTAATTCACATTAAGATACATTATCTTTACTGTATTCTCTTCTTAACCAAAAGCAGATGAATTTTGTCACTTTCAATGTCTCTTTATTTTTCTTATGGTGGCATTTTATATTTCTTTTTTTGGTATTTTCTCTTTCTTTGACTAAGTGGGCTTTGTTTGTTTGTTTTTGGTACTGGGGATGGAACAGAGGGTACACTGAGCTATATCCCCGGTGGTTTCTTTTTTTATTTTGAGACAGAGTCTCACTAAGTTGTACAAACTGGCCTCAAAATTTTGATCTTCCTGCCTCGGCTTTCTGAGTAGCTGGAGTGACTGTCCTATGACACCAGGCCTGGCCAGATAGTGTCTTTTATTCCATGTTGAGTGACTACTCAAGAATTTACATTTTTATTACTCTTCTAGAATGAAATTTTTTTCCATGTGTACCACCAGTATAAAAAACAATACCACATTCTGTGGCTTTATCCCATAGTCTGTAATTCCTTAACACTTCTCATTTCTTGGATTTTATAAATCAATAATATCATTTCCCAAAGATGCTTTATTGCTTTCCTGTGTCGCTGCCTCAATTTCTTGCCCTTCTCGGAGTCCTTGGCAGCCTTTCAATATTATGTTCACTGTAATGGCAGGAACACCCAGCTTTGTTTCTGCTTTGAAGGGATTTTTCCATCTTACATAATATTGGCTCTTAGTTTTCGTTTAAGAAAGAGACTTTAATAGAGAAACTCTTCTTGTTCGAATATTTTGGATATTTCAAAAAGAATAGACACTGGGACTGGGGATTTAGCTCAGTGGTTCCAGCACCTGCCTTGCAAGGGCAAGGTCCCGAGTTTGATCCCCGGTACTAAAATAGAAAGAATAGATATTGAATTCATTCGAATTATTTCTTGGTATCAATTGAGATAATGAAGTCATTTTATAAGTTTTTTCCTATTAGCGTGATGACTTAAAA